GTCCGTCCGTCCGTCTGTCCGTCCGTCCGTCCGTCTGTCCGTCCGTCTGTCCGTCCGTCCGTCTGTCCGTCCGTCCGTCCGTCTGTCCGTCCGTCCGTCCGTCTGTCCGTCCGTCTGTCCGTCCGTCCGTCCGTCTGTCCGTCCGTCCGTCCGTCTGTCCGTCCGTCTGTCCGTCTGTCCGTCCGTCCGTGCAAGCTCTAACTTGAGTAAAAATTTAGATATCTTTATGAAACTTGGTAGACATGTTTCTTGGTACCGTGAGACGGTTGGTATTGCAGATGGGCGTAATCGGACCACTGCCACGCCCACAAAACGCCATTAATCAAAAACAAATAACTTGCCATAACTAAGCTCCGCAATAAGATACAAGACTGTTATTTGGTACACAGGATCACATTAGGGAGGGGCATCTGCAGTTAAAACTTTTTTTTTTAAGTGGGCGTGGTCCCGCCTCTAATAGGTTTAATGTGCATGTCTCCTAAACCGCTAATGCTATAATAACAAAATTCACTAGAAGCAAATGTTTTTAGCACTTCTATTGACGGTGTGAAAATAGTTGAAATCGGATGGCAACTCCGCCCACTCCCCATATAACGGTACTGTTAAAAACTACTAAACTACTACTAAAAGCGCGATAAATCAAGCACTAAACACGCCAGAGACATTAAATTTCATCTTTGGGATGGTATGAGATGACTTTATAGGAACCGCTTTCAAAATTAGACAGTGGGCGTGGCACCACCCCCTTTTAGGTGAAAACCCATATCTTGAGATCTGCTCAACCGATTTCAACCAAATTCGGTGCGTAACGTTCTCTTCATGTTTCTATGTCATAGTGCGAAAATGGGCGAAATCGGACTACAACCACGCTTACTTCCCATGTAACCACATTTTCAATTCCATCTGATTCTTTCACTTTCCACTATGCAAATCAGGTAACAATGATTATATCGGGGTAAAACTTTGCGTGAATAATGCAATTAAAGTATGCCACCTTGCGGCCAAAAATTGTCTAATTCGAACCAAAACTGTTCAAACCCCTAAGTACTAAATATGTGGACCCCAGTGCCTATAGCTGACTTTTTACCGAAAATATCGGTCAACATAGAACAAGGCGGTAAGATCCACAAAGAAATCTTAAACGAATATACCATTTGACTTTGCGAGAGTATAAAATGTTCGGTTACATCCGAACTTAGCCCTTCCTTACTTGTTTAAATTATTTTATTTTTATTTTTTAAATTATTTTATTTTTATTTTTTAAATTATTTTTTTTTTTGATTTTAATTATTTTATTATTTTATAAATTAATTCATATTTTTTTTTATATATATTTTTTTTATATATTTTTTTTATATATTTTTTTTTATATATTTTTCTTAAATAAAAAATATATTTGCAAATCTTCCAGAGCATGTCTTCAGCTTCGTCACGTGGCAGCATACAAAATGGCGGTATAATTGTTGAAAAACCTTACAACGCTAATGCTACAACAACAAAATCAACTAATATCACAACAAATGCAAACACCTTGAATCTAACTAAGTTCACCACTGGCTCAAAGGGCATACCGAAGCCGTCTGGTTTGCGGCCACCAACAACAAACATCAAGCGTAGCGGTTTACCGAAACCAGTAACAGGCCTGACACGACGATAAACCTTACCATACTACATAGCTACACACATTAAATCGACATATTATATGTATATGTACTAACTACTAAGCGACACATATATACATAACTAGCTATATACTATACATATATTTAAAAACGTGTAAATCAAACGAAAGTATGTAAAAATAGTTGGCAATGTTACCACGTAATTGTTAGAAAAAAAATGTAAAGCATAACTACGAGCATTGCTGTATGCTCTCTAAGTTGCCACAACGTATATTATTTTTATATAAATTTTTTTTTTTCTTATTACGACACCAAATCGATACTAGTACTTTATGTATTACTCAGAAGACAAAAAAAAAACGGAAACATAAAACACAAAAGCAATGAACAAAAAACTTGTACTGTATACATAATTATAAATTTCTGAGATACGTCAAATTCGAATATTAGCAATGCATATAATTAATTATTTTCTTAAGAGAAATTAACTATTTCAATTATATGTACATGCCGTTTATTAAATTTAGAGCAAATGCAAAACAAAGAAAAAACAACAACAACATATGTTTTACAAATCGCAAAAACTGCAATTTAACTACAGTGAGAGAGAGTTGGAAAGAGAGTGAGTTAATTGTAAAAAAAAATGTTCGACATTTACAAGCTACTACATATGTGAAAAAAGTTATATCAGGGGAAGGAATAAGCAAGAAGTATGCCTTATTTTTGAAACTGTTATACGAATGGCTGTTGTAGGCCGTCGTCGTCGTCATCATGCACTCGTCATGAGCTTAATGATAAACTTTGAAGAAATGACTGCTGTTGTAAAAAAAAGTTGTGTCTTTAGTTTATAACATTTTGTTATTGTAATTTAGGCTTGATAGTGTTATGTGCAAACACACATGCATACATATACATATATGTAGTAGGTGCACAGGGAGAGGGGGTCTAAAAAACAGCGTAAAATGATAACAATAACTATTGCTCATGTTTCTTCGAAATGTACGAAGCAAAAGTAAGAGAGTTGTATTAAAATAAACAGTAAAAGAAACTACGAATTTCATATTATAAAATATAATACAAAAAATTAGAATAAAAATCTATTAAGTCTTGAAGCCTGTGTTGCTTAACAGTAAAACAAAAAAGGAAAAAAAATGTGCTCATTATTTGTTAAATTTTTTTTTTTTTTTTTATCTAATACCTTTTTTTTCTCTTTTCCTTCACGCATAACTATATACATGCGTGCATACATACAAACATATACATATGTATATTGAATAAAAATATTTTTAAAATTATTATTGTGCCAATTTCTATTGCTACAACAACAAACAATGCAAATCAGCAAAAACGGTATTATTTAGCTTAACCATTTGATGGTAATATTTACAAAAACAAATAATAATATGTACCGTTAATTTTTTGCCATGGTGCCATGGTCATTGGGTTGTGCGCGAATTTATCAGTGACTGCATAACTACAACAAAAAAGGTTACGTCAATTCGATAATTGAGCTCAACCGCTGTACACACAATCACACCAACACACACACTTGCATACATTACATAGTGTTTATATAGTATATTAATGTTTATTATACATATATATATTCGTAAAGAATATTTATACACACATAATGTGCTTTATTCAGAGCTTTTCAAAAGCATAATTTGCGTTCATGCCGCACAACATACACGCACATACCTATACATACATGCAATACATTTATTTGTGTGTCAGTGCGTGTTGTTGTGGCGGTGTACCATATATGCAATGGTTCGTTTCTAACACTGGCTCTATAATGTTATATTTTGCTACAGTATTTTCTTTTCTTTAATTTTGCGCCGAATTTAAAGCGTCACGCTTTTGAGCTTAACGGAAATAAACGTTCATATCAAATGTCAAATCAAAAGTGTTTAGTTGGAGAAGGCCAAAAGTAGACGTTGATTGTTAAGACAATACATACTTATGTACATAAATATGTGTATACACGAGAATATGTTGGCGAAAAGTAACGGAAAATTTAAATTTTAGAAATGTTTGTGAGATACATATGAGGGAGCAATTAAAATTAATATATTAAAAAACAAGTGCCGTAAACTTGATTTAATTTTCGAACTTAAGTTCGAAAACAAGTTTGAACGTCACTAACGAAACTAAAAATTAGTATATGAAGAAATTAACTTGAAATTACAACCAAAATCGGTTTTTCGAAAGTTGTATATACAAAAAAAAAAATAATTTTTATTGAGTTTAAAATACAAAGTTTTCTATTAAACAACTTTAACGATTTTTCAGTATTTTTTAATTTTCGAAAACTTCGAAGTTATTAAAATTACAAACAAACTCAAATACAAATTCGAAATTCGCATATAAAAACAAAATAAATTTTTTTAGTTAAAAATATATACAAAGATTTCTATTAAATAAATTTACGATTTTTCAGCATTTCTTAAATTTTGAATATAAGTACGAAAACAAGTTTGAACGTTTAAAGAAAATAAGTATATGAAGTTATTCGTTTAAAATATTTTTTTATTCGAAATTCGAAAATAAAAAAAATTAAATTTCTTGAGCCTCAAATGTATACAAAGTTTTCTATCAAACAAATATGTCTGTAAGTTTTGTAAACATTTGCTAAATTTCGAACATAAGTTTGAAAACTAGATTGAACGTTTACAGATATTTGAAATCAGTATATGAAGTTATTAGCTTAAAATTACAATCAGAATAGATTTTCGAAATTTGAATATAACGCGCGGACTCAAGTATAGTGGTCCGATATCGGCGGTTCCGACAAGTGAGCAGCTACTTGGAGAGAAATGAACGTGTGTACAATTTTAGAGCGATATCTCAAAAATTAAAGGACGAGACGGATAGACAGACGCACAGGGCTTATTTGTCATCACACTGCTTATTTAGATTCCTTCTGGCTGTAACAAACAACGTGGCAAACTTAATATACCCTGTTCAGTGTATACAAATAAATATGAGAAACAATCATTAAATTATAGTAATATTGCTAAATTTGAAAAATAATTTATATTATTTAGATTATGTGAATTTAAAATATACACAAAATGTTTTACAAAAAAAAATGAAAGTTCTGTAAATTTTTTTTTTAAATTTCGAACAAAAATTCGAAACGAGTAAGAACGTTCAGAAGCATTATAAAAATGAATATGCCTCGTAATTAAGACAAAATTACACACAATAAAAATGTTCCAAATACGAATATAGCACTTTGAACATTGAGAAAGAATTTTTTTTATGAAAAGTGTGTAAAAGAACTAATAAATTTGAGGCTAAAAAATTTAAAATGCTTGTTCTTAAAAGCAATAATAAATGAATGATGCTGAAAGATTGACCTTTCAAACATTCGTTGACTGAAAATTTGTAAACGCAACTAAAAAATTTGGAATTTCGTAATTTTGTTGAGTAAAAACTTATGCGTTCAACTTTTTAAATGAAACTATTATTATTGTTTCAGACATATGGTTGATAGGAGATCTAAGAGTTATTATCGAAACATATACAAAACGCTAAATGTGAAAATTTGTGAATTTCGAAAACGAAAATTAAGAAAAGTTAACATTTATGCCAGCTGAACTTCGAACATACATAACTGTGAAACGTAATTTAATGTTGTGTGTGGAAAACCTAATTTTCTTAATAAAAATTATGACACTTTTGAAATACACTAGCAATTTTGTATTGAATTTCCACCAAAACCAAAAAATTATAATTCATTTTGAAACTACAAAATTAAACACACAAAATTTTTATTTTATTTGTAAAATAATACATTTGGCAGTACCCAAAAGTAGCTGTGTACCTAAATATTATGGTTTTGGTGTAGATTATAATTTTCGAATACACAAAACTTAAGTTTGACGAGAAAAATTTTGAATTTGGTACAAGTACATACATTAGATCGATAATACTAGTACAAAAATAGAAAACAATTTATTGTTTCGAAAAAAGCATGTCACTAAAAAACCACTGACATGTGTGTATGAATGTATAAGAGCCTTTCATATACATATACATATATATGTAAGTAATATAGCGATATTGTTCGCAAATAAGCAAGTATTGTCTTAGCAATCAGCATATGTTTTTTATATAACCCCGATTAAGCAATTTAATTGCGACATACTACATTAACAAACACATACATACATTATAAATTTAAGCTTAACTAATCGTCATTTATTTGAAAATATCTTTTATTATGCATAAATATTAGCGAGAAAAAGCAAAAAAAACTACTGGTTTACCGTTAAATCAGCAAGTAATAGCGTATAGTTTTGAAAAAATCAATTATATATCAAGTTTAATTAAAATATCCAAATCGCTAACTCATTTGGACGAGATTATAAATTATATATCCCATTTTAAAGCATTTAAATACAGTTTAGTTTACCGTAGTGCTAATTATATTCTAATTTTTTGAACTTGTATACACAAAAAATTAGTTAGTTTTTACTAAAGAAAAATAAAAGCGTTACAAAAACTATATTCTTTACTTGTTTTATATGCACTGTGTTTCCATACAGAAGCAGTGACACTAGAAAAATTCTTGAAACGCAGGTAAAATTTATTTCATATAAAAATGACAGTTTTTGAGATATTGAACTGAAATTGTGCACACGTTATTTTCTAACCAAAAAGCTGCTCATTTGTCGGAACTGCCGATATTCGATCACTATAGCATATAGCCGCCATACAAGCTGAACGATCAAGCTAAAGCCCGCGTATGGCAAACTGAGTTATTTGATAAATTATCTTCACGAAATTTGCTAAAATACCATTTAATGCTATAATAAATACAACTGTGAAGCGTATTACAGGTTCGTTGCAGTCGAAGTAAACGTTTTTTCTGCATTTAACTTTTGTTCGTTTTATTGGCGTAAGTCCAATTTCCAATATGAATATAATATACACCCAGCTGATCGGTTGACCAAAGATACATATGTGTCTATAATAAAAAAAAAGTTATCGATTTTTCATGTAAGCAGCACGTAAGCTTTGTCTGTTCACTTAAAATCACAGTTTTGTTTTTGTAGCATTTTTTTATTTTTTCAAGTAAAGTAAACAAAAAAATTAATATTGTACATCGAGTGAGAAATTGTTTTTTTCCGCTACAAAATATAAGAAAGTAGTATTTACAGTTAGTATGTACGGTAGTATAATTGATTGATGATAGTTTCTTCAATGAAATACAAACTATACATATGAAAATATTTTACACAAAAACTAATTTCATTTTTCAGTTTTCATTGTCAAAAGTTTATTGCGGAAAATTCGTATGTAATGAAACGAACAACTATGTATAGAAAATGCCATATCAACTGTCGTATTTTCATACGTAAGCGTTATAAGTTAGAATTGAAAAAAAAAATGGAATTATATATACATACATACGTACGTGCTTATGTATGCATGTATGTAGAGACACCACAAAGTGCAAACCTTGAAATAGACTATACAGTAAGTTAATGAAGTAGCACGTTGTTCTAATTTAATACGTAAGAAAAGAGCTTTTGTTCAAGTACGAATGTGTGCGGGGTAAATAGCTGCAGCTGTCTAAACTTACGTTATAGCGGAAGCGAAGTTATAAGACGTGTCTCTTCAATGATTTGTCGGAATGTTTTGTTGTTGTTTAGCCTGCGGTATGGGCGCTGCAGCTTGTGGTTGTTGTTGTGCAGTTTGTATAGGTTGCTGTGCTTGCGGTTGTTGTTGAGGCCGTATGGGTTGTTGCTGCTGCTGCTGTTGTGGTACTTGCTGTTGCTGCTGTTGTGGTACTTGTTGTTGCTGCTGTTTTGGTACTTGTTGTTGCTGCTGTTGCGGTACTTGTTGCTGTGGCACCTGTTGGTATTGTTGCTGCTGTGGTATTTGCTGATATTGTTGTTGTGGTACTTGTTGGTACTGCTGTTGTTGACCATTAACCGTTTGGTAGGCTTGATTGGGATGCAATTGCACGGGCTGTCCCTGAACCTGTGGATGCTGTTGTTGATGCACGTATTGTTGTTGCTGTTGGGCATATTGTTGTTGCTGTTGCAGGTGTTGTTGTTGCGGTTGTTGATAATGCATCTGTTGACCAGCAGGTACTTGATATTGTTGACCACCCACTTGATAAGTGTCATGTGCGTCGTTTGGGTAATAACCTTGCGGCATGTTCGGGTGAGGTTTCAACTAATTAGAAAAAAAAAAGTAAAATTGAATTATGCAAAAGTTCGTAGATATTAAAGTTTATATACCAATCCTTGTGCCATCAAGCGTTGAATTTCTTCTTGACGGCGCCTTTCAAATTCTAGATACTCCTCGTGTGTATACTGTGGTTTTTCGTCAACAGTCTCCCATTCCGGATCCTTGTTCCACTCATCGCGTTTAGTTTGTTCCAAAAACTCTTGGAAACTAATTAACCCGTCACGATTGGTGTCAGTTTCCTCAAACACGTGCTCACGCATGCGCTCCATCTCTTCGGCACGCTCACGCATATCATCTTCAGGCAATCCAGATTGGTACACTTTGTCCAGTTCTTTGATAAAAAGTGCCTTTACTTCTATCTCATCCCAGTAACCGTTACCATCCACGTCTATAAAATAAGCCAACGTGAAATAAATTATATGTCAGATTATATATTTTTACCTACCATGCATCATGAAGAATGTGTGTGGATCAAAGTCTTTCTTGTCCAATTGATCTTGCTGTTCCCATACATCTTCTAATTGCGCTTTGTTGCCGGGGTGATGCACTTTTTCGTGTTTTTTATGTTTTTCTTCCTTTTCCTTTTCTTCTTGTTCGAATTTTTTGCGTTCTTCTTCAGGCAGTTCTTTTAATTTACTCTCTTTTTCGAATTCTTTCTGCATTTCATATTCTTTAAATTCAGCACGACGTTTTCTATCCGCCTCAGCTAAGTCTTCGGACGTTTTTTTAATCAACTTTTTCAAATCCTCAATTTCAAAAGTATGCTCGTTGTGGTGATCCAAATGTTGAGGAATTTTTAAATGTTCGCGATCTATTTCATTTTCCAATTCATATTCCTGATTCACTAATTGCCGTAAACGTTCGACTTCACGCCGCTTGATTTCGTCTAATTTGGAGCGTACATGATGATTCACATATTCCAACTCTTGTGCAATTTTGCCATCCTACATTAATGTAAATTAATATATTTATTGTTTTGCATATAATTATATCTACCTAAATTTGTGAAAATACTTACGCGTATGTCAGCTTCAGGCGCTTTGTCTAACTTTTTGCGGAAATCAGGATCGCTTTCAAGTGCTTCCACAACCTCTTTTAAATACCTTTCGTACTCCAATGCTGTTTCCACATCCGGAGTAGCCGGAGTTACAGACGCTTCTTCCTTTTCCTCCTTTTTATTTTTGGTCACTGGCAGCGCATTACAAAATTGCACCAGCACTATTGTAGCGGACAATATTAAAAATAAATTAGCTTTCAGTCTCATTTTGCAATTTTATTTTCGAAGTAATGCGTATATTAAATTCAATGTTGTTGCCGAAAAAACCAAGTGAATAATGAATATTCTGGGAAATGCCAGAAACTGCAAACCAAAACCTGACGTGTCAAAAGGGGGTTTGTATGCTTCTTCTTCTTGTTCGAATCACAATAGTAATGTAAACAAAAAACACAAACAGTTTGATATCGATTCTAAAACGATAGTGAAATCGATAACGTTCAAATGCAATTTTTTTAAAGGGCGATTACCATTATTTTGAATAATAATGACAATCCATTTAAAGATTAGTGGCTGCGCGCGTTTGTACAGACAGTTTGACAAGAGCCCCGCAGTTTTTGAAATAACGATCTGAAAATTTGAACACTTCCTTTTTTCCTCCAAGAAGCTGCTCATTTGGGCTCAATGGGCTTCATATTGATAATAATCGTTCTAATTAGCGATTTATATTAATGATAACCTCAATCCATTTTTTAAAATAAATTATAATATTACTTGCATTAGTTATATTCATACATGTCGACAGTAAAATTATTATGGCTTTAAATATAAGTATATGCGTATATATGGACGTAATATTTGGGTAACTAGCGTGCTACTGAGTATTATGTTCGTTATATTAATTTTCAGCTATTAGAATTTTGTAGACTTGATTCCGACGCGATTTCTGTTGTTGGACTGGCATCATCACACAGATTAAGAAATGCCATATGCTCAGTGGATGGGAAATCGTCTAAAACAATTATGCCTACGTTATTATCCGGCAGTCTCGGAGTATCCTCGTGATAACCAAACCAATAGATAACAATGCCGGCGCCAAAACTAAAAAACAGAATACGAGTTTAATATAAGCAAATAATAATAAATAAGCATATTAAGACATACCGATTACTGTAGCTATATAGCTGTTGTTGTATGTACCACTTATGCGTTTTTACATCACCAAAGGTGGCCTTACTTTCAATCCAATTAACTACTTCACCTTTGTACAAGAATGGCACAATCATTTTAATATCTGGTGTTTTATCATAGCCAAGACGTCGTAAGTCATTTTCATCATAGTAGTGCATATTAGCGGCAGTGGCCATTTGTTTCAACTTAAATTCATACTCTTCGCCTAAAATTCTGCGACGCAAATCAACAAGTGGTCCATCTTGGGAATCGCTACACATGCATTGTATAACATTCGCGGCTAGTTTCGGATCATCAATGAGATGTGGGTATTTCAGCAGACGACTCAAGTCTGCTTTGTGCAAAAATTTATATTTTACCTGCAAAATTGCGCGACAGAGTGCCATCGGGCTTATGCTCTCTAAGCATGCAATTTTTAGGAGTAATGTAGGTGCTGGATGTGTGCTTAATTGATCTTTGAAACTGTAAGGAAAAGCCAAAGAACAGTTATTAGTTGCATGTTTTGTTTTTTAATTTGTGACTTACGCTTTCAGATATTTTTTTGCTTTTATTTCATTTTGCCAATGCTGTGCTCTTAAACGTGTAGAAAGTTCTGTTTGCAAAATACTTTTTAACGTCTGCTTATCAATGTCGGTAAAAATCCGATTCACCATCTCCATCTCGCAATCTATGGCAAGTCCATGGTAATGCTGTATGAAATTACAAATACTTGAATATTCTAAGGCGTTAAGTATGCGTTTTTTTCTTTCTACAGCGGCCATTTGTATCGTCGCATTATCTTCCATTTTTGGGGTAATTGACCAACGATTATTTTTATAAAATAGAAATTTCTGCTTTCGGTAAATCCATTGATTTCCTTTATTTGTTGTTCACGAAACGGTTTGAAAATCAGCTGTCTAAATTTTGTAAACAAAGTCTTCTTCTTTTCGTTTATGTTGTACTTATTCACAATGGCAGAGACAATTTAGTAGCAAAAATTTAATAATTTTTCGTTTTTAATCTGTCGTTCGTTGAAACAGTAGAAGAGATAATAATTAACTAAATAAAAATTATGCTTCAATTTCGTATAGAGGGTCGTAGTAGGATGGTACACAATTTATAAATGCTTCATAATAGATTATTTGAAAATGGATGAAATCGGGTAATAATCATGTCCAGCTCCCATACAATGGTTATTATGAAGACGATTGACAGTGCGCTAACGCACTAAATGAAAACAGAAGCTTTAAATTTTATCACAAAGACGGCGCGAAAAGACTGCATGGGAATCAATGTAAAAATTGGACAATGGATATGGCACCGCCCATATTGAAGTGAAAATGAATGAAAACATACTTTTTCATACTGTAAATTGAAACCAATGAATATATTAAAATAAACTTTTGCACAAAGAATACCTTTCAGGTGTTGCACCGCTCATGGTCGAAGATGAACCATATTTTTTCTAGTCCTCTAGAAACCAAATGTAGGAAGCTCCGAAACTATGATTGACTTTATATCCAAAAAATCAGTCACTCTGTAAGATATAGTAAAATTAAGTGGGCATCTTTACCTGAAAATAATACAGCCTGGTAGGTTCCTAGCCCTCGTATATTTCATATAACAAATTTTAAATATTCGTCAGATTTTATACCATTTACGTATATCGGCTAATATGTGTGCTCTTTTCGTAAAATTAATTGGACAATTCCAAAAAATTGATCTAGACCTTAGTCCAGCCTCCACAGTCTATCCCTAATATAATATAATGATTTCCATTTTTATACCTTGAACAGTATTGTATGTATTAAGTTTGCCACGAAGTTTGTAACACCCAGAAGGAAACGTTGGAGACCCTATAAAATGTTTACATAAATGATTGGCATAACGAGTTAAGTCGATTTGACTATGTCCGTGTGTCAGCCTGTCTGTATATGCACGAACTAGGCGCTCAATTTTTGAAATATCGTTCTGAAATTTTGCACAAATCCATTTATCCTCAAGAAGCTCGGATCTGCCATTATCGGACCACTATAGCATATAGCTGCTATACAAATTGACTGATCACAATTAAGTTCCTATATTTTTATTTTTTTATTTGTGAAGGGTATTATAGCTTTGCAGCAACTGAAGTATAAGTTGCCAAGCACAAACCAGGCTAGACTTCAAATACCGGAAGTTATTGATGTCATTCTCTGTGTATTAAATTTGTTTCTGAGTCGCAGGTAATTTTCCCATTCAGCCGATAAGTGACATTTATAGTATGTGCTTTTAACAGCCATTCTTTTTGATATCCTTCGTCGCACAGTTTTCCGTTTAATATCCGGTTATAACTAACTCGATTTGGTCAATTTCTTAATGCTGTCTTTTTGATTTATTTGTTTGTTTTATTTGATTTATTTTTGTATTTTTCTGATTTTATATCCTTTAGCATTTGGTCACTTTTGCCACGAGCTAATCCCGAGTGATTTTGTTCACTTTTGTTGTTGTAGCCTGTGAGAAAGTTTTGAACATCATAGCTTGGTATACAATTGGTGAGACATATGTCTGTATATTAATAAAGGGTGGGAATGTTTTTCGCTGGTCACTTAGAAAATTTGGTTCATAGTCACATCTAAGAAAGTCTCTCCAAGTAGGAATCGGTATGAGGCCACAATTATAACGGGAAGGTCTTTCGCCTTAGAGTTTTCCATTTTTTTTCTTATTATCATATAGAAAGACTCATATCTCGCTTTCAACTACTTGAAAAATATCTCGTTTCATAGATTTGGTTGAAAACTGGACGCTCTGAAAAATAAACGGTTGAAATTTTACTACAAGTATATTAGGGAAAATTTGTCTTTTTCTTTTGAATTTTATAACTAAATGAAAAAAAATCTTTAGAATTCAGAATACGCATAGGATTTGTAGGATATTTACTTCTCTACAAAAATGAACCTTAAAATTAACAAAAATATATGTTTGTTGAGAGATAAGAGCGTTCTAATAACTACTACACATCTTAAATGCTCTTATATATTAAGTTTGAATAGATTAGATCCATCTTAATGACATTTGTTTTGATTAAGACGTCAAGAATCGTTTGGAAACAAACATGAAGAACTAGCTGAAGATTTGAGAAAATAGTCAATTTTTAATATAAGAAAGCGCATAGCAATAAAATATTCTTGAAGTAGAATACTTCGCTATCAGTGAAAGCTAGTCAAAGCTCTACAAGTATGTTAATCATTCAATATTAATTTCATATCTAAAATGTCTTCTCAATGAAACCTTTTATGAAATACGATATGAGTAAGACTCCTAGACTTCCTTTTGGAAACCAAAAAAGTGGATAAACTAACACTATAAGAAACTTGAAACTGAAAGCTTATAAAAATGGAAGCTCATACTTGAAAATGCTTTGCCATTACTGAAAGCTATTTGAAGTGAAAGTTTAAGTTTAGTGGGCAGTTTTAAGTCATTTATGATTATTATACTTTTTAAATAAAGTTTTCTTAATGAAAGTCGTTTTGATTAAGGCTCAAAGAACCGTTTCAGAGACGAAAGCGAGTGAAAAACGCTTAAAGTTTGAGAAATCTTGTATGCTTTTGGTAGTGAAAACGCATATATAATAATGTTTTAGTTTGCTAAAGTGAAAATTCAAGTTTATTAAATATTTTAAATTTTTTTCTTAAAGCGGATTGTAACGTTTTCTCATTAAAACCTACTAAGGCATTCGATTAGAGTAATACTCAGAAAAGCTGAAATTTTGGAAAAATGTGCAAGCTTTTACTAGTGAAAGCGCTTACATGAGAACACTTTTCCATTACTGTGTACTATTGCAGTGAAAGTTCAAGTATAATAATTTTTTTTAATAATTCATGGAAATTACACGCTTTTTAAGTTTTCTTAATGAGATTCGTTTTGATTAGTGTTCAAAGAACCTATATTGAAACAAAAAAGTTTGGAAAGAGACTTTGAAAAAATGTGCAAGCTTTTACTAATTAAAATTCACAAAACTGAAAGCTCACATGTATACATGAATTTTAAAGTAAATAATGTTAATATACATTTCGTTTACCATATAAAGCATTTTTCTTGAAATACGTTTAATTAAAAGCTAATGCTAATACCTACTTAAATGAAAACTGCTAATTCTAGTGAAGATGAAGATATAATGGAATTCTTGAAATAATTAATTTTAAACGATTTTTAAATGAAGCTTCAAAGCTTTTAAAATAAAATTCGTCCTTTCTTTATGATCATCACTGATTTACACACATACTTTAACGAACTCTAATTTAACATTATTGCAATGTGAAATTGCTTTTATAAGTGGTTTTAGGCGTTTTCTCATATTTCTTGGAAGTGTATTCGTTAATTTTATTCAAAAACAGTTAATTTTTAAGCTTAACATAATTCTTTCTTTCATCGCTGGCAATTTATGTATTTATTTTGTCTCCCTAATTTTCGTAGATTACCTTATTATTAATGTTCATATAATCACGTCATAATATGTCAATTAAAATTCTTTAGATTATGGAAGTTTTGTGTGCGCTTGAACGATTAAAAGCATGCAAGCTTTTACTTAATTATGCATAACCTATTTAGGTGTTAATTTATGCGCATTTCGGCATAAATAGATCGCAGTTGATAAGGTAAATGCTTTGATTTTGTCCATTATAATTTTTTATTATTAGAATTTTTGAGAACATTTATGAAAATATTAATTAGAAAATTGTACAAAATTAAACTCAAAAAGGCAATGATATTATATTCAACTTAAGCACTAAATGTGTATGCTTAACAAGCCCATTAAACACGCTTAAACACCAGAACAACATGCATAAACCGTTTAATTTACAACATACTCACTCCGGCAACACGACAAAGCACAACAAGTTGTGAACATTTATACAACAATAAATACAATAAATACAATAAACGCTCTAAATCGACATAAAAGCTGTGAGTTGTTAAGATAGCACGCCACAAGCCAACATATTTAGGTTTGTATGTTTGTGTATATATATATGATTTTCCCAGTCGCATTTTCACCACCATTGCCGCAATGTCCGTGGTTACGCTTGCGGCTGGCATTGGGGCTACGGTTGTGGCTGTGTTGCTCGGATAATGTCCGACGACAATCTGTTGATTGTAAACTTTGCGCGAGTTTAAATTGAAAACGAGCGAGTGCTGACGCCGCTCTACAGCTATGCATAGTTTTGCTCTAATAGCATTTTGATGGCAGTTTCAACTACGTGACGATCATTAGCGTTGCAGCACAGTTGTAATTTTGAGGCGTACAACTCAACAGGCTCGAGAAGAGGTAGGATAAAAGGGCAGTAAAATAAAATATTTAAAATTATTATATAATAATTCTGTTTTTAGTAGCTGTGCAATCTGATAGCTGAAGACCGAAGCATATATAATTTTCGTAGGTGGCAATGGTATAATATAGACATAGCATTAGGAAGGGTGTACTCGTCGACGTAGGTATTATTCTATTACCCCATTCCTCACCTTTAGGGAAAATTTATTAGCAATAACTTTGTTAAAATGTATTGTTATACTAAAGCTACAGGGGTATATAAACATCGGCTACAACACCAGTCAACCATCTGCCACGCCCTCATATCATCGCGAATTGCCAAAAAGAAAATATACTAACTTGTTGCTGAATAGCGATAATCTGGTTGAACACTGCTCTAGCCAAAGCTGAGGAGTTATTAACAGAACTCGTGAATTTTGATACCCAGAGTTGTATTGGCGCACTGTTCAAGAAGTATACTACACTAAAAATTCATGATTTTTTCCGGAAAATAGTTTTGGGAGATATGAGTGTATTTGCCAGAATTTTTTAACTTAGTGTAATCAAAACTTTAAATGCGTTTTTCTCGAAAACTTGTTGTCAGAGTCGGTGATGAATGTTAATAATCTGAATGATAAAAATAATAATAATATTTTTTTTTAGGCCGTAAGGAGGGTTCTATCATGGATTTTCCCGCAGTCCGGGACTGCTTTCGCATTACTTCAGGGCAAGGTTTCCAAGATGGACCCAGGGCCAGTTTCTATTCTCCATGCGTTCAGGGATGCCTACAGTGTTGTAGTCAGCATCAAGCTGACTATCTTCTATCGAGTGGAATTGGTCGGAGGGTCCGCGTTCATCCACGTATTAGGGAATTTGCTGCCAGTTTTCGCCGCTAGCGTGTTTAGTTCACCTTTTTGTTCTTTAAAGTTCTCCGAGCTGCATTCCATCGATGCCAATTAAAGAATGTATGGTTTCCATCATCAAGTGGTTCGTCTCCGTAAATATATGCAGGGCTCTCTACCTTCGTTTAACTTCGATTAATTTAAGTACTTCCACTGGTATCCCGTCAGGCCTGGAAGCTCTTTTAGTTTTTAAAGTGCTTGCGGCCGTGCTCGTTTCCTCCACATTAAAAGGTGGGCGTGAGCTATCTTGCATATATTCTGGAGGGTCCCTTCCCAGGTTATGGGTTGGGAATAGAGTGTTTACGATATGACTGTAGCATTTAACTTTAGAATGTTGTTTTCTCATTACGATCTTCTTTCCGAGACCCCATGAAGTATTGTATATCACTGCGTAGCTCTTCCCATTTATCTTTCTTTGTCTTTATTATTGCATCTTTCGGCTAAGTTTTCTCAGTTTTATATTCCTGATTCTCTTTTGGAATGTGTTGAGCCGTTCCTCTGCTATCTCTCTGTTTTTGTTTTTTTGTATCCCTTACGCCCAGTTTTGTAAATTTATAAAGAAAAGCAAGGGGATCTCTGCGAACTTCCTTAGGATAAGAGTTTCATGTGGCACTCAGCCTTTTATTGAAGAATGAAAAATTTCAGGAGTGTTAGAACTTAGAAAGAAGAATGTTCTTAGTTGATTAGTATCTTCAATACAAGGAACACCCGCGGACATCATTAACAGGGTTTGCTACGTAAATAAAATTATATAAACTGGCTTGGAAATAAATTTGAAGGGCCGGCCGACCCTGCACTCAAGGAGGAATAAATATAAACTTTAAGTCGACAGGAGTTAAAAAGTTTGATGTGTGCAAACTTGCACTGAATGAAAAGCTTAACGACCAATTCGAAAGTTTGGAAGGTATGATTAATGAGGAATAATGAAGTCACCAGGTGACCCCAGCATAGTATGCATATCAACTAAGCGATTGATAAAAACCAACTGAATATATTCAACTATGCTCTTAAAATGATTGCATAATTTAACAAGCAATTAAGATCGCAAAAAAAAAGAACACGCTATATTTTCCTCTGAACGCTTTAATAGCTTGTTGATAGGCGTTTTTCTGGGCGAAAAAGTTCACGTAATAATTAAATTAGACTTCAGTATTTTTTGCGGTATTTATTAATCAACTTAGTTACTGAGCGCATCAGCGAGCGATTTGGAACTCGTAAAAAATTTCGAGGTCATAAAAAAGTGTAATTATTAATAATTTACAAAAAGTAGCGAGTAATTAAAGCAACTTTGCAATATCGTAAAAAAGCAAGTTTATTTAGCATAACCATTAGCATATTCGCAGGCGCATTTGTGGTTATGGTGTGGGTGAAGCAGTCAAACCGCAAATATGGGCGACGGCGCTTAAAATTAATTACCATATTATTAAAGCATATTAAATGGTAAACGAGTATAAAACGAAACGCAAAGCAAAAACAATGCGCAAACATTCAAAATTAAAGCGTGCTAATGTTGCCTAAAAGTATGCTACAATATTATAAAAATACGTTTTATAAGTGTTTTTGTTTAATTGAAATTGCAAAAAAAAAAAAATTGAATTCTTTTTACACGGCGCTACTCTATATAAATACTAGTATTTCTGATAAAAAAAAATGCACTTAAGTGAATTGCGTCAAACGTTTGACATTTGCAAATGTATAGCCGTGGTTGTGCGCTTAACTTTAAAAATTTGGCTCAGCTGTTCACCGCTTTTGTTTGTAGTTTTAATATAAAACACATTTATTTTTATTTTAAATGTGTTGCAGTGCTTTTTGAACAATATGTTGCAGCAGCTGGTAGTTGAACCAAAAAAGTTGCAAGCAATATAGTTTTTGGGTGTAAAAAGTTTTGTAATTTTGCATGCAGTGTAAACTTGAATAACTTTGAAAAAAATATCTGGTTTTTTCTATATTTATTTAATTTATTTCACTTTTTATTATTTATCTGTACTCGACCCCTTTTTGTGGTTTTTTCATTACCTTATGTGGCATATCGCGCGATATGGCTGGGCTTTCGATATACATGTTTGCCTACAGCTCATCAATCAACTTATGGAGTTTCTGTAAAGTTACAACTATTGCTTAATGCCGAGTGTTGTAGTCGTATGTTCTGAATCAGCGGACCCCACGCGTTTTCCTCTTGGGATTGTATTGCTGTTATGTTCAGTATTGTCTGTATGATTGTTGAGTAGACAATGTTGACTTTGTAATTGGCCTGCCAGCGTTTCGGAGTAAATAAATAGGAATTGATGGAAAAGTCTACAATTATTTTTTAAGTGACTTAAGAATATTGCAGTCAGGTATTAAACTACATAATTTTGAAACATTTTTATCAATACTTGAAATCACATCGTAATTAAACCTTAAACTCGATTTTTAATTGGTGCCTACAAAATGTATGCTTTTAATATCATAATTCCTCGGTGGACTTCAGTCAGATTGACAATATTATACGGCTCTGTATTGAATAATATATAGTACCATATATCAGTCAATACAAACCAACATCGAAAAGTATTTCGCCAGCTTTGATCCTTGCAAGTTCCATGAATATAAAGCTTTCGGTTAATTGAGTTATTAAGTAGATTAAATCAAACGTATCAATCTTGATGTTAAGTAATAAAATATTTTTGAGGAAGAAATGCTTTATTCAAAATGGCATTTTCCACAGAGCTTCAAGTAAGTATGTATTTTATGCTTCATTTTGTTAAGTAATGTGATAAAAATTTTCAGCGTTAACTCTTCAATTTGCGCCCTCTATAACAAAAAACATAAAATCATAATACTATTCATTAACCCTCAGTAGTTGAGTGGCTGATTAAATGCATATTCAAAATGTAGCATACTACTTAGCGCCAACATTTTTTTTACGCAGACAAATTCTAAGGCTCTTACATATAACAATACATCAAGCGGTAAATAAAAGCAAAACGTATTCTCTCTGTCAAAACTCTCCATTGTATGCAAACCCCTTTTTTGCATAAACGAATACATTGTTGAAGATATCAGAATTTTTTTTTTGACATTTCCCACCCATTCTTTTAATAAGCATTTACGGTTTATATAAGCGAGGATATGCATAAAAAACGTGCAGCCAAATTGTGTTAAGCAACAGTTGCAAGGGTTGCAAGCACAATGGTGAGTCATAAAAATAATGCAGTGCCACGGGACTGCGTGCAGCGCAAAAGTATGCAACAAAAAAACAGCAGCGACTAAGCAGTATAAGAAAACGGAACGTTCTCGAAAGCAATCTCATACGCAAGCATGAGTGCATGATAAACGTATGCATAAAGGCACACAGGCACGCACAAACTCCTACATACGCATATACACACAAAGCACTTAACTTGTTCAGAAAGTGTGTGCAAGTCGAAGTAAACGCCACAAAACGCTGCAAGTAAATCAACCCCGCGGGTCCAACACTCGCAAATGCGGCTTAGCGTGTCAGCAGCCTGCCAGTCAGTCCTCGAGGCGGGTAGCCAGTCAGCTTTGCAACAATGTATGCGTTGTCTTAGGTATCAACCGCATGCTTTTTCGTAGCAAAGCATACTTTTAGGAGCTCAAAAATGCAATTGAACAATAAATCTATTTATTTGTAAGCGCCGTCGGCGGCGTCACCGCTTACATTTGCAACAGTGTTGCTTTTATTGCAGTGGCACAGCCAACTTCCGTTGCTTTGTTCCTACTCTCTCTCTGGAGAGTGAGGAGAATAGCGAAGGGAGTTGTAATTTGCAATGCTGTTTCATTTTGTTTAAAGTGAAGTGCCTGCAAGCGGAAGGAAGCCGCTTATTTGTGCGTGTGTTTGTATGCAAGAGTTGCTACTGCTGCTTATTTTTAATACCGTGTACGTGTGTGTCAGCGTTTTGTGTAGATTTATAATGTGTGTAACCTTTAAGATGATGCTTTTTCTACCAGTAAAAAAAAAAAGAAAACGAAACCAAATGAAGGATTAGTGCGGGGTTGGCATGACATTTACTGCATGTTTATATATAAATATATTTGTATATATGCGTGTATGTATGGTATATATATACATGTGTGCAAGTGTGTATATGTGCACTTACTAACTCTCGTCTGTATTTTCATTCAGCGGTTCAGTTATGCGCTTTATGCTGAAGTGTATTATATTTTCCAAGAATTTTGTATAGAAAAACTCTCTTCTTTGCTGATTTGTGATTTTAGCTTGATTTGGTTCTGTCGAATTTTGTGTGCGTGTGCGTTTGTGTGGGTAAACTGCAACGAATTTTAATGTGCAACTAAGTTTACGCTTTACTTACTTAGCTTTGTGTTACTTTGTAGCGAAATAATATTTTTCAATGTCTCATTATAAAAATTTCATAATTTTATATATATTAATATGTTTTTTTTTAAGAAATTACAAGTAAAAAAATTTGAGGTTAGAAAAGCTAAGAGTAAGATATTAATAACAAAATCCTTAAAACAAACACGCTTTTTAAAATGCTTTAGAGTTTCATACAAAGAAGTGGGCAAAACAGCTTTCACTATTTATATTTTTTATGCAGTAAATCGAAGGCTCAACTTAACCACACCAATTTTGATCCACCGATTCTTATAAGAATATAACAAAAATATTTTAGTTGCCCCTCTGCAGAGAACCGGAGTCCTCGGAGACCAATTTAAATTTGGAGGTTCTTCCATTTGCTGCATTTGATGCACAAAAAGGCGTAGGAGCTCGATGATGTAAAAATTTGATGTGCAAAACATTAACCAGAGAATCGGAATTCATTATATTGGGGATATATGGTTTAGACCAAGACTAATTGTTTTTATATTGAGCGCGAAACTATTAATATAATATTATAACTTTTTAAAAAACATGTCCACTTAATTTTATTAAAATATCACTTATTTTGACCAACCTAAACTTTTTAAAGTCAGGTGGAAGGTCGGAAATCATTACAAGGGTATAATTATATACATATAAACATATATATGGAAAGTCAGCCAGACGTTTCAAAATGCTGAATTATATGGGCTCCCATGTCTCGGGAACTAATTTTAAGTTCTATATGAT